GCCTCCTTGATCTTCCTGGCTGGTTCTTCATACTGCTCTACAGATACCACCCAGCTCCATTAATTTTTCTGGATGAGTCATAGTCTGTTGAATTGCCAGAGGCCTCTCAGGGACCATTCACATTTATGTATGCACATTATGCATTTTGAATTGTGGCACCCCATTGCACAATTACAGTATCTGAATCTATCTAGACCTTAACAATTGGGCCTATGATCTATTGTACCACATCCCTATTAACAATCTATTAAAATATATCTCTGTCTCTTAGGACTTTTTTGAGTGCTATGTCACAGTACAGTATATGACTTATACACCTTACAATATATACAGTATCTGGCAAAGCACTTGCCTTGCAGTTCATTTAATGCACATGCCATGTGATGTGGTAGCATGTGTTAAGAAAAAGGATCACAGCCATTTTCCATGCACTGAAATATGTTGCCAGGTCATTAAAAATGAATGGGCTACCTACAGGGGCAGACTGACAACTCAAGGGGCCCCCGGGCAATAGGGGATCATGGGGTCCCAGTGTCCTTGCCCAAACTCAAAAAAGCCTATGAAAAAGGTACCAGGGGCATCTCATGGGGCCCCCTACTGACCCCGGGCCCTCAATAAGGGATCATGGGACCCTTGTGTCCTTGCCCAAACTCAAAAAAGCCTATGAAAAAGATACCAGGGGCATCTCATGGGGCCCCCTACTGACCCCGGGCCCTCGGGCAGTTCCCGAGTTTCCAAATGGTCAGTCCGCCCCTGGCTACCTAAACACAGCTCTCCTTATCACCTCCTTATCAAGGGAGTAGTGGGTTACTTTATTGCACTTCCATTAACACAACACACTGGGGTTGATTTACTAAAACTGGAGAGTGCAAAATCTGGTGCAGCTCTGCATAGAAACCAATCAGCTGCCTTTTTTTTGTCAAAGCTTAATTGAACAAGTTGAAGTTAGATGCTGATTGGCTACCATCCACGGCTGCACCAGATTTTGCACTCTCCAACTTTAATAAATCAATCCTATAGTGTGAATGAAGCTTAATGGCCTCTTTTCTTCCCCTTGTATGCAGAAACATATGCTCTGCAACACACTTGTGTGATGTAGTGTGCTGCATTGCTGCTGCCCATTCCCATCAACAAGGCATTTTCATCCACACAACTGCCACTCACTGGATATTTTCTCTCATTTGGACCATTCTCTGTAAACCCTAGAGATGGTTGTACATGAAAATCCTAGTAGATCAGCAGTTTTTTAAATACTCAGACCAGCCAGTCTGGCACTAACAACCATTGCATGTTCAATGTCCCTTACATCTTTCTTCCCCATTCTGATGTTCAGGTTGAACATCAGCCACGCCTAGCTGGCTAAATGTATTGATTTGCTGCCATGTGATTGGCTGATTAGCAATTTGTGTTACCAAACAATTTAACAGGTATACCTAATAAAATGGCTGGTGAGTGTACAGTACAAGATGCAATGTCTAGCATAAATTCAGCACAAAAAGTGGACAATTCTTGCACATGCGGTATCACCATACTCAGGGGGAGTAGAGGAATGTGTTTTGGGGTGTAAGTCTAAGTATGCCCATGCTGCGTGTTAGAAATAGCATGTTACATTGACAACTTTGTGTAAATAAATACTTTTTTATTTTCTTTTTAGCATTTTCCAAAAACTTGTGACAGAAAATATAGCCGTGCTGGAACGCAAGCCAGTGCTAGGACCGGAATTGGAAGTGACATTGGGAGGTATTGACGCCCAAGCATGATGGGTCCTGACGTGACTTCCAATTCTGGTCCTAGCGCTGGCTTGCATTCTAGCTTGGCTATATTTTCTGCTGGAAGAAGACACAGCCTGTCATACAGATTTAATCTGCGTTCTGAGTCCAGCTTTATTCCACCTATCCTGCAGAGCTCTTTTAAGAATACATTTCATTCATCCATCAACCCGCTGTCCACCGAGGCTTGCTAGCGAATAAGGACTGATGATATGCCCATTTGTTTCTCATCCTTGTATATTTTAACTCTTTCCTTTACTTGTTTTTAATTAAATGAATACATTTAGATGGCAGTACCTTCTGTTTGTTTATTGTTTTAGTGCACAGAGATATCCAATACCCTGTTAGAAGAGTAGCAGCCATTATAGAAGTGGATTAGAACACATAGATCTACAATACAGAGACTACTTGTTGATTGGGACTTCATCACTCTTTCTCTATTTGAGCTATAGAGTTTTTTTTATATTTACCATCAAAACAATGCTGTCTCAAAAAAAGTATACCAATTTATTTTCAGTACAGTGTTGCATGACTGAGTAATTGTCATTCAAAGCAGGACGGCAATGAAAGACTGTTAGACATATAGGGAGATTGCGAAAGAATTTACAGTAAAAATTTCTGTGCTGGCTAGCTGGTGATCATTGATTTGTATTGGCCCTTGACCACAAAGCATGGATGTTGCTGAAACACAAAACTCTTCAATAGCAGCAAGAAGAAGCAATATGAACAGTCAAATATTTCATGTTCTGACAAGGAGCATTCAGATAGAAAAGAAAGCAGAGTGACAGAGAGATGACCCCCATCAGAGTGCTTCTCCTTCAGGGTCCAGTTACAAGTTGTAGGCAGGTCCTTCACAGACTGGACTCACATTGAATAATGCTTGCTGTCATTCAACATGACAGAAAGGTGTCAGAAACTAAATACTGTGGTGCAGGCAGCATTGGACCCAAAAGGGGAAGTTCCACTTTAAGGACTGCTCCCCCGCTCCCCATTAACGATTGGCATCTTTGGGGAGCGGGTACCCGAATTTGACAGGTTCCCCGCTCCCACTTCTGGTCCGATCGCCTAGGTGATTGGAAGAGGAAGGTGTCCTCACTCTCTCCCTCCCTGTAGTCTTTAGGGACACGTGACAGGTCCCATAAGACTACAGGACCATTCATGAAGTGCAGAGCTACTCGCGCATGCGCAGTGGGTACCCGGCTGTGAAGCCACAAGCTGTCACAGCCAGGTGCCCACACTGAAGATGCCGGCCTATGGAATACAGGACGGCTGGTGAAACGGGCTGAAGGGGACACACCATGGGACCGAGGGACAGGTAAGTGGCTGTTTTTTAGTGTTAGCAACTACAGTTTTTGTAGCTGCTGACTTTTATTTTTTGACAGGTGAGTGGAGCTCCACTTTAAGATAAGTATTGCAGCAAAACCTGTTTTTTAATTTATTCTTTATATGGACTTTTTTGTTTTTGACAAAAGTTTTACCCAAAAAAACATACTTGAGAGTAGGAAGGGACCATTATAACATTTTGAAAATGTGCTTTTCTTTTTACTAATGCATTGCATCCCTCAGATACACAGTTACATTTAAAAGCATAAATCATTGCAGTGTCTAACGAATAATGAAACTAAACACAAAGCTTCTTGTGCAATTGTAAAAAAAATGAAAAGTTACAGTCATTGAAAGTGACACTGTCACAGCCCTGACTTTCCACCTACCAGCTGTTTGTCAAAGATAATTTATTACTTGAAGCTTAAGAGAAAGAACAAATGTTTTAATAAGAGCGATTATTGTGGAACTAGTATGTAGACTAACATTGTTTTAAAAGCGACAGGTTACAAAATTTCTAGAGTAATAAACAAAGGCATAATATTTGCAACAGCTGTAATAATGGGCTTTAGTCTATCATTAAAAAGAGCTAATTTACTTGTAGACAAATGAAATATGGTAACAAGTTGTTAAAAGTGGTTAATGGGGTTTGAATAGCTTGGCTGGCAGCAAGGTACAAAACTAAGTACAAAAGTTTCTGTAAAATTGGATTTCTGTCAAATATTAAGTGGCTGAAAAAATGTGTGAATAGGAAGGCTGTATCACGACATACACAGTATCTAATTAGATGTGGAAAAATGGGTGATAAACATCTCGAAGGTCAGATGGCCTACATGCTAGAGTTCAGGCTACTAGCCCTCTTTCTTTACACTGTACTGAAATGAACAGCTATTGGTTCTAAGTCTTGCCCATCAACGCTGGTTCTTTCCCATGTCTATTTCTATAAACCTTAGAACCAGTGAACAAAGAGAATTTGTTTTAATAAGAACCTCCATTCTTGGCTTATTACAGTCTTAACGCTCAAGAATTACTTCATTATACAAGTACTTGGCTACTTAATTATTAAAGTGGTAGTAAATTTCTTTTGAGAAATTTTACCTACAAGTAAGCCTCCTTTTGACAGCCGGCGCATGTCCTCTGAAGAATGGGCATAGCTGTACCATTCCTTCAGAGTACTGTGCAGTAGCCCTGGACTCCCATGCACATTTACAGAAGTGACGCCATCATGGCTCGGCCAGTTAGATAGCCGGAGCTTGCGAACTCAGAAGGAAGACCAGGTGAAGATGGAAGCCTCTGCCATTGTGACAGTGCATTGCGATGCATGAAGTATGCGATGCATACTAGCAGGGGTGGACTGTCAACTCATGGGGCCCCCGGGCAATAGGGGATCATGGGGCCCCTGTGTCCTTGCCCAAACTCAAAAAAGCCTATGAAAAAGGTACCAGGGGCATCTCATGGGGCCCCCTACTGACCCTGGGCCCTCGGGCAGTGCCCGAGTTTCCAAATGGTCAGTCCGCCCCTGCATACTAGCACATTATGACATTACCGCAGGGAAAGCTTTTTTTTTTTTTTTAAGTATGGTTTACTACCACTTTACAGTATTACTTACTTGTATTTTCTCCCTGTCATAGCAAAACTATTAGGCTGCATGGCCATTCTCTTTCCTTTCTGAGATTAGTGATGATAGCAGGCATTAAACAAGATGGTCTTATAGCAAAAGTGCAGTCAGCATGGCATTAACCTCCTTCTGCCATCACCCCCTGGCCCTTAACCACCTCCCGCCCGCCATATAGTCATATGACGTCCTCCCATTCTAACCGCGCATGCGCGGCTCCCGGAGCGCGCAGCACGCCGATTGGTGGTGCGATGTGTTCCTCGATCACAGCGGATCACCGATCCATGGAAAGAGTCGAAGATGTCAGCTCGGTCATGTGATCAGCTGTGTCCAATCACAGCTGATCTCATGTAAAAAGGGAAATGCCGGTTATCGGCATTTCTCTACTCTCGAGCTGTCACGTTGACAGCTCGAGAGGAGAGGAGAGCCAGTAATCGGCATCCCTCAGAGGGGACATGTGCAGTGATGATCAGTGTGCCCTGATGATCTGTGTAGCCCCAGCAGTGCCACCTGTCAGTGTCCATCAGTACCAGCTGTCAGTACTTATCAGTGCCACGTGCCAGTTCCCATCAGTGCCACATCCATGCCACATATCAGTGCCAACCAGTGCACATCACTGGATCGGGCTCAGGTAAATATTAGGGAGGGCTGTGAAGGGAGCTGCATGCCCGAAGATTTTTTACCTTCTTGCAAACAATGCATGAAGGTGAAAACCCTTCACCCTTTACAATCACTTTAAGCTTTGACTACAATACCTGGAAGCTGATTGGTTTCTATACAGAACTACACCAGATTTTGCACCATGCAGTTTTAGTAAATAACCCTCACTGTATCTTGGAGGGATGTCTTCGATGGACACCATGGATTCTAACTCTCAGCTGAGAGTCAGGCCAATTGTTTTCACATAAACAAGTAGCTCTGAAAAAAGTGATCTCTAATAATTGCCTTTTTGGCAAATAAAGTAGAACTATTAGAAGACCTAAAGTGCAACACACTGATGAATACGATATTTCAAAAGTGACAACATTCTCATAAGATGGATTACATAACTGCAATTAAAAAGCAAAAGCTGTCCAGCTCGTGCGGTGGCTCTTAAGAGTCTTGTTAGTTAATTATGAACACACAAATGATGAGATTAGTTCAGTGAAGTTATTTTCCATATAAACAGCTGTCAGAAAGTTTAGGATCAGCTGCCAATATTACCTTCCCAGCCATTTCCCTCAGCCAATGTTTTTTATCAGAGTACAGATGTAGGATTTCACACTGTAGCATTTCCCAGAAGCCACTACTGTGTCACAGCTACATTTTTTTAAATTTAGCAGTTGCCTTCATAGAACAGAAGGTGTTCATGTATCTCCATGTTCTTACAAATCCAGAAAGAGAAAGGATTTATTGGTAACTTTAGCAGCTCTATCCAAAGAGGTAGAAATCATTTGTCTTTACTTCTATGAACTGCAGATCTCAAAATTAATTAAACTAATTGCCACTTACCAATTTGGATAGCAATACACAATAATATTTTTTCTCATTCAGCCGCACTGATCCCCCATTCAAGCCCCACCCTCTCCCCATTTCCTGACAGTGCCAGCTATTGTATTTTCTAACTAAAGAAACACAGAAAGGAGCACCAGACCAAATTTAATTGAACGAGTCCCTGTGTCAGGAATCAGCAGCAGGGAGGGCCAAGTCTGCATGGTTACACTTAGGAAATTGAGACCAGACTATGTATACTTTAGGTAAGAGTGAAAAAATACCTAGGTATAATAAAAGATATACAGTATATACAAAATGAGTAATGAAGAGGGAAACCAGGGCTGGGATCAGGAACAAGGGGAGCATATATAAGGCAGCAGGGTGCACGGTACAGAATTCAGGGCAAGAGCAAGACAAGAAGCCAGATAAACAGCACACAGTATCTGGCTAACAAAGCAAAACAGTGATGCGCAGTGTAATAGTAGAGGAGGGCCTTAACACCCTCCCAGCAGCCAACATCAGGTGGAGACTAATTACTGGAAACTGCTGGCTGCTGGGAGACACCTACTGGTGGACACCTGAACTACAAACCTGCCACTCTGGGAAGCACAGTGCCACCAGCAAGAGATCAAGGTCCCAACACCAAGGTAATTTTAATTGTTGATAAAAAAAAGTCATATAAAAAACACTAACGTGTCTCAGGGGTGACACCGCTACCTCTTCATCAGGGCTCAACACAGAAGGCTCCATTGCTTTTGTATCAACAAATAAAATGTTCTGGGACTCTTTTATCCATTTATGGCCTGGCACTTCGTTCTGTATTTCTATGGTTTGAGCTGCTGTTGGGTGCCCATTGAGGAAAGCCTTGTTGTGTGGAAGCTTCCATGCCAGAGCTATTGAGCTTATTTTCAGTTTTCCTTATTCTTTGAATATGTTGTTCTGGAGACTATTGTATCCCATAGCTCTCCTGTAGTTTTCAGCAGGAATCAGACAATATTTCAGCTGGGAATGGCAAGCATTAGTCTGTTTCTAATGTGTTTTCTCCTTTTTCATATGTATCAATGAAAGCCATATGATCACCACATTATTGGCAGCATTGATATTGCCTCACATGGCATTTGTTGATAAGCCAAGCCATTCATCAGTAATGCTGAATTGGTGATGTATGGATTTTTTGTTTTTCAATGGAGTTATTTCACTCTGTGTCAACAGCAGAACTGACACATTTAGCACACAATTTTGTTGTTAGAAGGTATTTCTTCCTAGGTGAATGGGATAGGAATTATGAAGAAAATACTTGAAACATTTCCCACTGGTGTAACACACATATGTAGGGGCCCTTAATGCTAGCTGTATGCGTATGTGTCAGTCAACTTCACTGTTCTGTGCCAAGAGTGCACTGGCAGCTCCTGGTCACTGTTTATGTTTGGGTACCAGTGGATATGTGATATCTGCAACAACAAAAAAAGTGGTTACATTCTACCCCATCACCTTCCATCTTTCAGAACCGGTTATTACCACGTTTTGCGTTTTGTTCAGACTTTTTATTTTTTAAGTGGAATTTTTATGTCCATTAAAAACAGAAGTTTAGTTTGCATACTTTTGCAAATACATGCATAAGCTGCAGAGCCTCTTCACGGCACCCCAGTATTTTCTTCAGTTCTAACTCTATAATTTTGAAAGTCTCCATGGTAGAAGCACATGCATAATAATGGCTGGGAATTTTTCTTTTTTTGTTGTTTGACATGTGTCACCCTTCCATATGCTCCTTGCTGCAAAGACCAATTATAGACTGGGGCAGGTGCTGTTTGTTTGCACTGTTGATATACTGGTGAGAGGTATACTGGACACCTTAGCTGAGTCTGGGTTGGGATTCAAACTGAGGACATTGGTGCTGCAAGGAAGGTATGCTAATCACTGCAAAAAGAACAAGCCATCCTGTAGGAGAATAGGAAAAAAAATATTTACCAGTCTTGCACTGGTGACTTATTTCTCTCTTTCATGTAGAGCTACACCTGCTGAAGAATCTTGAGCATTCAAGACTTCTGAGTGTGTTGGATACAAGCATCCCTTCTATCAGGAATCAGCATCACAGATAGCCAAAATGACATAGCTACACTCAGGAAACTCGGACCAGACCATATATATTTAAAGTAAGTTTTATTTACAGTAAATCAAAGTCCAAACAATCACCAGCACACAGCAAACATAAAGATATAAAGATAAAGTGAAACAAAAATCTGTGCCAGAATAGTTACTAAACAAAATAACAAACAGAAAACCTAACAACTAATTATATACAACATATACAAAATGGGGAACACAGAAAAACGGGAAAACTGGGGGTGCAGGGAACAAATAGGAAGAGGAAGCCAAAACTGTGGTTAGGAGCAAGAGAGAGCAGGTATAAAGCAGGAGGGTACAGGGCAGGTGTAAGATCAGGATCAATGGCAAACAGAATCTGGCAGCAGCAAAACACTGGAGAAAGAGGCACTAGTAGGGGAGGACCTAAATACCCTCCCAGCAGCCAAAATTAAGTGTAAACTAAGTACTGGGATTTGCTGGCTTCTGGGAAACACCTGCTGGTGTATACCAGGACTACAACCTTCCACTCTGGAAAGCATAGTGCTACCAGCAGGTGATCCAGGTTCTGACACCTCCTTTTTCTAACTACTATGTCACTACAACTCTCCAGGAACACAGTAGAGACAGAACTGCAGAGGGGTGAAACCACAGTACATGTTGGGGGTTGCAGGCCTTCAAATCAGGCTATCCATTGCTGCTTGAACCACTTCCCACCAATGTAACACATACTGTATATGCAATGGCAAGTCAGGTGTGCCTTAATGTCCAGCTACCGCACATGAGTCCATTAGGCTCCAAGGTTCTGTACTTTAATTACTCTCATTGCACTTTTGTAGCACACTGACATAGCTATTACTGCTTGTGATCAAGAGTCAGTGAGATGAGCTCCCAATCATGTGACCACCAATCATATGATCAAGAATGCCCACCTCCCAGCATTAACACCCACTTAAAGGGCCACTGGGAGGTGGCTGCCAGTGGTTAACATTCTCAAATCATTCTCACACTACAAACATCCTTTAAGCATAAAACACATTTATTTGTTTATAAAAACAAAAGTGTCAGATGATCAAGAATCTTTGGTCAGTGTAGCTAAGCAGGAACATGAAGAAATGAATCACCGGAAGTATTATTACTCTTCTTTTAGCGGGTACCTATTTGTAAGTGGAAAAAAACATTGGAAAACCAAGCCAATGTCGATGCATATTTTCAGTATGCCAATTTATGCCATGGGTTCTTTTAAGCCCCCACTTGGTCTTTACCACTTCTTCCCAATGGCTGCCCTATATCCTGTATATCTGACTTTTTCCACAAATGAAAAAGAAAGGCCAACTGAGATTACAAGAAGCTAATAGCTAATGCTCAAAGCCCCCAATAGCAGGCATAGCGTATGCAAAGAATTTTTTCCTATACAAGCTTTAATTCACAAACAGCAGGATACAACTCTTCTCTGAAAATTGGAGTACAGAGGGTGATATGGAGAAGCAGCAGGAGATCTTGTAAGTTAATAGAGTTCACGGCTTCTGGACAGAGTGGCCCACTTATGTGAATGTAAAGTGACATTTTTGTAGACTTAGAAATAAAAAAAGATATATAAATATATACAACGCCATGGCAGAAAATGATTGAGTGAATGTTAATGTAAGCAAATATTAAAGAAGGCACCTTGACCTGTTACTGGGAGATTTGTTGAATCATGTTAGTTAGGAATCCCCACTTTAAGCCGTGTAATAATTAAAGCAAATGTAAACCACTTTACATGACATCTGGTTTTCTAAAGCACTTTAACAAAACTCCTTAAAGCTGAACCCCAGGAAAATAAAAAAACTTTTTTTTTTGCCATTTGCCTGTAATGATTGGTGTTCCATAACTCGCTGCTGCTACATAGTAAGATTCTTTCTTTTATTATTAATATTATTATTATCGGCTTTTATTAAATTTAATTTTAGTACATAAACAAATATCAACAGTATACAATTTATCACAACATCTTTAATCCCACTAAATATCATAAACCCTCCTATCTACCCCCCCCCCCCTTCCTTCCCTG